TGACATCTTGGCAGTAAAATTTGATGTTCAAAAATACATCAGTAATAAAAACAGTTTTCATCTATATGTGTAAAATAGGGCCATGTACAACTGTCTAGGTTCATGTCATGAAACTCCACACCAAAGAATGAGCATCAAATATGTCAGATATTTCATAAATAGTTCAAAGGATAATTGGTGCTGAAATTTCAGAGATATCCTAGAAGAGAATGAAGACGTGAGAAACTCCAACTGGTGTTACAGTACATCCCAGACATGTACAATAAAAACTAGTATGATATTTCTTCAAGCTGATTTTTATTTCAAATTTTTTTTCAAGATAAAAAGAATATTCAAGATTCTTTGATGTCACAATCCTGACAAGATACATTTTTCATTTATTTTGTATCGAAATTTAAGACAGACAGATGAGAAATCCATAATCTATCGCCTGGAGTGTGTTATATATTACAGCTTGATAAATATAAAAATTCAGATTTTCCATCAGCATCGTGGAATCTAACTTAAGATTAACTTGTCAATCTCATGTGATCTAAATATTAGTAAACCTAGTACCTCGCCTTGTCAGAATATTATCTTCTACTCCATAAATGTGAATAAATTGCTCTTCAATGGTTGACAGCTTGAAATGATACAAAAATTTAGCATGTCTGGAGGTAGTAAAATCTCAAACACAAGACGAAATTTCAGAAAAGGGTTTTTAAGGAAGGAATTTTATATGAGCAAAGACAAGGTCATGTTTTACATAAGCAACCTTCTTGGAACTGCTGTCAATGTAATATTGACAAGGGTCTGTTGTATATAATGTATAGTTAGTATCGCTGGCCCTTAAGGTACTTGTGGTTTATCACAGACAGACCCATCACCATTGATATCCTTATGTAAGGACCATTATTACCTTAACTATCACTTCAACGACCAGACACTTGACTTGTGGCGCCAAAATCATGACAATTAAAACATAATTACAGGAAATATTCACCGTTTCAGTCCTACAAGTTGTTTCTTTAACAACCCATTAATACACAGAATTACAAAAGATAATCTGATTAAGACTTTTGAAGATTTAAACTCCGGTGATATATAGAAAGAATTCAGTTTTGATGAAAGCTTATTTGTTTAGGTGATGTAAGTTTCCGTGTAAAATTCCTGTGCCTTGCACCACTTGTAACAATGATTTATTTCACATGTCTAACTATAGCTACAAAATATTGTGATTGACATACCCATGCTTTTCCACTTTCTCCAGATATGATTGTCAGCACATATGGTATGCTGTTTTATGTAACCTGGTGTCATAAAGAATGCACAAAATATGTACACGCACAAGTTTTCTCATCTCTCTTCTGTTCCGATTCAAATGAATCTCTATAAATAATTCATTCTATCTAATTATTAGACTTTTATCACCGACTTATAAGGCTGTTGTATACTTTAGCTGTTGATAAAAAATACAGAACATTTTTTGTATCATGTAGGTATAAGACTTTCCCAAGCATCAAGAGATTTATAAAAAAAAAACCGGAGTAAATGATTAATTCTAAATAAATTTGTTGTGTGCTGAGCATACCTGACTTCACACCTGAAGAAGTGCCTGTCAATATCTACCTGTGTACCACTTTATATAATGCTCACTTCATTTGAAAAATGAAAAACTAATAAACCTAAACTCTGGTTTGAAATTTAATATCCGGCAAAAAATATTTAAAAATGAATTGAAAATACAGATTACAAGTTAGATCTATACAGACAGATTTTAATTCCTATAATCACAACAGAGTCAAACATTTAGATTTCCAATGAACTTGTTGGATGTAAATATCTCACCAAAGAAGAGACTGACAATGTCAATGTTGTATGTTTTGACAAAATAGTGAAGGAATATAGAGAGGTATTGAATGGATACAAATCTGTCAACGTTTGTACGTCAAAACCAGCACAGCTATAGAATAAACATAGATTCTGTTTGAGGATCAAATGTATACAATGTATCGCCCCAGACAAACTTGCCATTTTTGGTTGTGTACCGCTTCAACTTGACTTGTCCTTTGTGTGAAACCCGTTACTCTTTCAACTGCGATAGATGGGTGGTGATTGTTCACATTGTAGGTCAGGAGATTTAGACCTTCCAACAGTGTAAATGGGAAATTCAAAATCTTTATAGTAAAAGGCCTTTAAAAATGCTATTAAAACTAAGAGGGTGTCCAAATTATGCCCAAAACCTATAAATACTAAAACATCTACAGCTTGGGCAAAGTTCCGACATAAATGGGAAAGACTGATTTTATCCAACATAGCTGGTTTTCCTGAACCTAACAGGTTTGCATTTAAAACTTAATGGTCTGTTAGCGTTTAAAGTCAGACTGTTTCACAGAAATATGATCAATTTCAATCAAATTCAACTAATAGAAATAAGTAGTGAACTTGGTGTGAATATTGGATCTGGTCATTGGACCGGAGACATTTACTCCTCGGCAGGTGTCTTCTATATGGCTGTCAGAGGACTCTACACATCTGAATCACCCAATTTTTTCTAAACCATTTCCGGCCGACTGAATCTTTCAGCTTTCATTATAAATTGATAAAGGTACAAGTTATCAGTATTATTAATCATCATTCAAAAATGTAAAATACTGGCACATATTTAACAGGTCATAAAATTTCAATCTCCTTAGTTGAAATAAGAATAAATTATATTGTAGACTTTTTAATGACTCCAGAATTACTGTTTCCTTTCAGACAACTTTACAATGTGTCGAAGTACTGACATCAATCGGTGGTGATTTTCCCTCAAAAGGGTAGTTTTTATCCCAAGTGCTTGATGATAGGGTTGAAAAAAAAGATAATTTTTGACTGGTACTAAAACTTGTCTTACTAAACCAACCTATATTTGTGGTCAACATATTTATACATACCTGTGCGTGACTAAAACAGGTAAAATTGTGCCAGGTACATGTAATTGAAGTGGACATACCCGAAAGGCTTTCAGGAATGTCATGTTTATTTTTTCATACATGGATGATAACGGGATGGGAGTGAAATGAAGTTTGACTCATACCACTGATAGTGAAAAATTCAGTCATCTCTACCTTAAACACTGATCTATACCCAGATTCCAGGCCAGGAAATTCCTTTTCAATTTAATGATAGACATCTGCATTTCAGTCCCATCTTGTCAAGATTTGCCAAAACTATTTTATAAAATGACAAAAAGTTAATTCAATGATATTTCATAATGTGTATTTCATACATAATTCATAAGTATATGTAACAAAAAATAAAATTCTGATAAAAATCTCTATTTACTAAAATTTCTTAAAATTTTTTTTTTTTATGTTATATGGAAATTCCTCTAAAAATCTGAATTACATTTTAATGAAGGTAATTAAGAAAAAATGTTAACAGTTATCCCTTTAGAGAGAGAGTTATTACTGCATTAATTACTTGTGACCTTGGTAAACCCAGTCTGCCCATGTTCAGGTAATACACGCAGATCTGTCATTATCTACATATAGAGGTATAAAGCCAGGTGAAAAATTCAGACTGAGGTACGACGTGACAGGTTAATTACCAAATATCACAAATGTCTGACATATCATTATAATATCTAATAACCAAGAAATCAGGTGTGTGTATTACATCTTTTCATTTAACTATTGTCCTATAATGTTTTCTTGTATTTCAGGTACAAATCACCTGTGCATATATTACCTTGAATTAAAGAATTCAATTTTATATTAAAATCACCTCTACCACCAAGCTATTTTTACCGATAACACATAACTGAGATATTATTCCAATTATCTGTGTACCTGGTGTAATACCTGTAAAACACAGGTATGATATCACCAACAAACAATCTTTTACCTGGACGGTTTCTATTTCACTTTGAACCCACCTGTACTGTTGTCATTCAGTTACTGTACATCCATCTTGATTTATATAATGTACTGTACGAATCAATACATAAATCAAATAGTTTTCTTTCAATTAGTATTCCCCTATGTCCCCTTCAACTTCTACTATCTGTGTATTTTCTCTTCTATTAAAGTCTATCATTTCACATCTCTTTTCACTTGTTCCCCCTTCTCTCATTTTCTTGGTAGAAATCTAACTTGATAAAATACCCAGCTAATAAATCACCGTACCCTGAGAAACCTCCTTAATAATTCATCCCTCTCCCGTTCCCTCGATTCTTTAATCCATCCTCATCATCACCTTCTCCACTTCATTTTATTTATCTTATCATTTACACTTCCATAAATAAAATTAAGAAAGAGACAAATGTATTTATTGCAGGAAATATTTAGACCAGATGTACTCTACAAATATTTCACATTTTTGATTTGATCTATTTTCGTTTTGTGAAATGATTTTAAAACTGATGAAACTTATCTAGATTGAGAGATAATGATATATTTTTGGGAGGGTATATTTTTTTATCTAAAAAATGTGATAACATATCTAATATCGGTGTACAAATGTACCAGTGGAATGATAACACAGAATAACTCGGTAGAAAACTGTATAGAACAATGGCTATTTATCAACACAGGTAAGATAGCCAGTAGATAATATAGGTACAGGTATGATCATTAATCAATCTGACAGATATATTACTGGTGTCCAAAGGCTAACTCACCGCCTCACCTGATTGACAGGTAGATGTGATTCTACTTAGTTGTATCATTAATGGTCAAGCACACCTGAAAATTCTGGTGTTCCTTCTGTTATTATGAAAGCTGTCTTAATTGAGTGACCACTGTCCAACGGACAGTAGTAAGGTGTCATTTCTTACTTAAAGGACGGGAATCTGAGTCATTTATGGTTTCCACTGATGTCAAATTTTGCAGTGTTTCATCTCGTGCATTAAAGACGCCGGTTGTCAATATCGGATAATTACATGTCATTAATTTCAGGGGTATTTCCTGTAAAATAAATTGAATTTAAATACAAATTAGGTGTTGTTTTTTTTTTAATTCTTTAAAAATTGTACTTACAATGCATTAGACGCGTTCCAGTAAATTGGAGGAAGTCTTCTGCCACTGTCCACGAATGAAACCATTGACATCGTTAGGGGAAGCAAGACCACAATGTAATGTAAAAGCCAAGGCATCCTCCACACATGTCCGGGAAGAAGTCCCATACATTGGGTCATTGTACAACTTTCTAAACACCGGCCTTTTTATCATGTACCTGATCCAATCTCCATAGTAAACAAACAGACGAAGTATTCCAAAAAATCCCGGCTACATATTTCACAACGTAAAAACTTCGAAAAAAAAAATCAGCACAAAATTGCCACAGGAATATAATGCTGAGAAATATTGGCTATAATAGCTGTTGTATAGTTGTTATGATAGCTAGCTCACACATGACTGTTTTAGCTAAAGCAGACGTGCTCTCTCTCTTACTCTAGCATAGTGAAACTAACACACACGTTCTGTACTGAGCAGACCTGCTGAAATCAACAACCGAAGGGAAACCGGGGTCACATGACCAACACACCGGTGGGGTGCCGAATGGGGTTCAATCGACGTCTGCAGGTTTAAGCGCTTCGTATGACAGCTTTAAAGTCCGTTCCTGTATTTTACGTTTCTGTTTCCATGAATGGAATGCTTTGTGTTACACAGATACTTTACACCACGAGGAGTTAATCTCTTTGATATGCCGTTGGGGTGTAGCGAGGTATCAAAACACTGGCTAATCTCAGGTATGCCGAAGAACAGTGAGGCCTTAATTACAGGTAACACAATGAATTTCCTGTCCTAGTGCTCATTAAGGCCCTATACAACCCTTCAATAGATCCAAATCATCACCCTATGACACATTTCTGTACTTACATACATTTATATCCCAGAATACCGGGCCATATCAGACATAAATTATAATAACTACCTTCCCGACAATATAAAAAGTTCTACATTTTCCTGTCTCACCTCACCATCGGAAACAAATATTTTTGTTTTTATCAACACTTTCTTAAACATAGGAGTACTCAAATCACTGAAATATAAATTAAAATCAGGGAAACCAGTAGGATATTCTTAAAATTGTAATGTATATTATAAAATACTTTGTACAACAATGTTGTTAAATATTCCTAGACAAATCTTCACACCCCTTATAAGGTTATATCAATTTAATTGGATATAGAAGAGTTGGGTCAACTAAAGTGATTAAGATAAGAACTAAAAAAAACAGTAGATCAGATTTATAAAAGTATGAAAACTCCTAAAGAAACTTGAAATTTTGATAAATCTTTTGTTTTAAATTAATCAGACTTCCAAACTAAATAAAAACTTTTTGACTATGAATTGATTTTATTTCCAAGTGTTATTTTTTGCTTCTGTATTTAAATCATTAATATATCACAGAATTGTCTATAATGTTGAAGCATTACTCTGATTGATCTCAGTGATGGGAACGAATTAAGCCAAGTGTCATATTGAAAATTACGCTTTCAGACCTTCACTGGGAATTCAAATACTCCATTTCCACTCAAATGTCCTGTGATAGTGGAGGGTGTCCATTTGTACTGGTCGTATCGGGGTAATGATCCGTGACCTGGGAGGTTAGTTTCGAGCAGGTGAAACTACAGGACAAGCTTTTGACGTTTATTTCATTTCACCAAATAACAAATGTAAAAACAGTGGCGATAAGGTCTCTATTAATTGGGGCTATCTGTATCAATTTAGAGGGAACTAGCAAGAAAAATGTATCCATCATTTATACATGAAGTAACCTCACATTTAGTCGACGCAAATGTGATCCCGGCGCTTGATATCAGACTTCACATTTCCATGAAATACTCCTTAAAATTAGTCATACAGTTCTCATCAATTTAATGAAAATTTAACCGCAGAAAAGAAACATTGTTGAGAAATTCTTTTTCTCGTGATGACATACATTTTCTGTACGCTGCATAACAAGGAGAAAATTTAACTTAATTAGATAAGTAAAATTATCTGTGTAACACTTAAAACAACTTCTAATCTAAATCATCTATACTTCTGAAGTGAAAAGAACAAAATTGAAGTTTATACCATATTTACACTTGTCCAGTTTTTTTTTATTAACATGGGGGAGGGGAAGTTTGATCTAAACGATTGAAGACTCTTCTAAAAAATGACATTTCAACAGTTATTTATATTGATCTGACGTTTGAAATCATTGACAATTTCTGTCTAATTTTAATCCAAAAGTTGACTAGCCCTTTTCAGTAGTAAAAGTTGGTCAGTACATGTCATGCTTCGACATAAAAAATATTAAACTAATAGCAATTTTATTGATAATTTATAAAATGAATGGAATGTTGTGTTAGATAAACACTTTAACTGCTCAACATGACAAATGTAAGATTTATAACTCAATCTATAAACAAGAATGTCATTATCTTTGCATCATTGATTATCCAGCCAGGTGATTTAAATGTGTCACCTTACAGTGACATAGACAGGGGAGACAAACCCTACCTGTTTACCTGGTGTTACCTGCATCAGTGTAATTATTTAAGTCTCACATGAAATATCAATTTTAACACTTCAGTTTTTAGTACATATTGAGTTTAAAATAAGTGTGTTCTTTGGCAGAAGAAACTTCATTTACAAGAGACTCAATTTTTTTACCAAATTGAAATTCTCAATGGTTTAAAAAAAAACCATCTGATATCCATTGCATTTGTCAGGTCTTAAACTCACTTTATCTAACATCAAATAATATATGATAACTTCCAGACAAATAGATTTTTACAATTTACTTTTTGGCTGTTCTTATTTTTTAGACAAGGGTAATGTGATGTTTCTAAATATATATATTCATATGGGATAAAAATCTATATAGACCAAAATAACCAGCTTATCAGTGAAATTGTAGTAAAACTTATCAATTTGATTAAGTGGGAAACCTGTGGAGGACTTACGGCCAAGGACTCGGGGTGGGCTGAGGTTGGAAGGAGACAAATCAAATTGTCTATCCATAAATAACCTTGTGGTGTTAGATTACATAACAGATGGAGAAGGTCCTCTAGTTATAAAGGGACAAAGTTTATAGCCTGCTGGAAGACATTACTGGCTCGTGGAGCCCTTTAAGGGGCAATAAACTTTCCTTTTCATTAAACAAAAATAAAGGATTATGTCAAAACAATTTTGTTCTATGTCACTAAGTATGGGTTGTTCTACCTCTTTGGATATGATTTCAGGCCATTTTTTTAACCCTCTGCATCATATGGGAATTACAGAGCCCACATCATTTTTTACATGAATATGAGAGATTTGAAGGCAAAATTTTAATCTGTCTCAACAATCATCCCACACACATGCCAAACTTTGTTAACATCATCTCCATTCTACGCCTTTTGTAAAACTCCATACAGAAAAGGTCCTCTAATTTTGTCCGCTTTGTAAATGTATTTTATTTCCTACCTGTAAAATTTTCACCTGAACACTTCAGACAGAGTACAATAGCGAGATACACTTTTATAGGTCCCAATATCTGTGGACCCCTAACATTAACATGTATAGTGTGTGACATTGATTTAATTCTGGATAAAAAACGTAATTTTATGAGGGGGTAGATCAGTACATACCTAGAGAAGACCAGGGTCCGATGACAGCACAACAAACTACTCAAATAACAGATGATAAACAACCGTATATTTATGATGGAACTATTCTGTCTACTTTGCATTAATGTCTGAAAAAGTCATTGGGTAAGTTTTACCAAACAAGGTGATAAAAAAAATCTATTGGGTAATTTATGTTTCGGGTGTGATATTTGTGAATCGACGTCTTTGTGCAAGGGAATGCCGAGGACTGAGGGATAAACCTTTGCATGAGCACAAATCAAATCCATCAATGGAACCGCTACCATCTCGTAATCACCTCTTTTTATATTGATAATTACTTTCTCATATCAGCCCGAACTTCTTAATATTTCAATTTCTCTTTCATATTAATAATGGACAAAGTTTTTTGTATATGTTTAACTTCAAACATTTAATTTTACTTGAATTTATCCATTGATGAGTCAAGTCTAATTTTTTTTTTGTAAATTTGAATGCATCACAAATTGGTTTGGAATTAATCTTGCAATACATCAAAACTTTTTTTTGTAAGAATAACAATTGTATAATGACAGCAATTTCCCTGTTATTTAAAAAAATTGTAAAAATTGAAATGTGAAACGCTTTACCTTAGATATTCATAATGGATTCAGTTGATTAATTGTAAAAAAAAATCATTTAACAATCTTTAATTTCTAATGAACAAAGTTGGTGAAATATGCTTACAATAGAGTGATCATAAATTGTCATAGCAACAATATAAATACATAGATATTTCATAATTATTTAAGCGCAGGGTTATACAGAAGCTTGCACAATAATTGCCAATAGAGACTGATAAAAGAGTTCTGAACACCCCAGCGATTGACTCCTAGATTCCTCTTTATATCTCACATATGTAATTTACAAAACTTTTCATGTTGTCTTCATTTAATTTTAAACCCCCTATTTATCTCTAGAAAAATTCACATTACTGATACGATCTCAAGAAAATATCTAAATTGATTTTTAAGAAAAGAAAAACTTAATTGAATATTCTTATTTTTATTTGTATTAGGGAAGCTAAAAATCAAATTCAAAGGGAAAGACCAAACTATTTGAAAAATGTATTATTGGCACAAACATGCAATTCTGAAGTATAATAGAATTACTATACCATCATTCATCACAGACAGTTGAATCATAACTGCCAAGCATTATCAAGAAATAAAATTATTTCCATTGCCTAAAAACATGAAGGAACTCTGGATTTCCTAGAAAAAAGATTAGGATTTCATGCCGACTAAAGCATTTGGTTATCAAGATGATAGTTGTTATTGACTACAGTTTTCAGCAAAATACAAGAAAAATTACATGTAATTGTATGGTCAAGTAAAAATCAGTCAAGATAAATTTTCTTTTTCTCATTTCAATTATTAAAAAAATGCTAGGTTCAATAGATAAGAATAATTTTGATCTTGATGTTCTGAAGTTACTTCCTGTCTTTTGGGGTTGGGATGGGACAGAAAAAAAATGTTCCTTAAACTTTTAGTTGGTCTTAATTGATACACATGTACAGTATAAAACAAGAATCAACACAAACACATATACTGGCTGGCTTCTTGCAGCAACATTTTTTCTGTGTTATATTTATCTAGTTTTTCTCATTTCAGTTGCAATAGCAGAACAATAAAAAGCAACTTTAACAGTGATTTTTTCCCCGTAATCCACGATGGACAGAAGAGATAACAAATCCTA